AAACATCTTTTCTGCTCTGGTCATTCTTTCCTCTCCTCCTGAGACTCTAATTGATTTCTGTGAGACCTTTCTGTGGCCCTATGTGGCCCTGAGGCTCTAGTGCATTCCTTCTTTCTCTTAGCATTTTTCTATTTTTCAGATTAGATTATATTTCTATTGATCTACCTTCAGGTTTGCTGACTCTCTCCTTTGATTCTCCTGTGAAGCCGTCCAGTGATTTTTATTTCAGATATTTTATTTTTTAGTTACATATTTTCCACTGGATTCTTTCTTGCCGTTTCTATTTCTCTGCTGAAAATTTCCATGTTTTTATTCATTGTGAACATACTTTCTTTTATATCGTTGGGCATGGTTATGATAGCTGTTTTAAGATACTTATCAGCTAGTCCAAACATCAGGGTCATGTCAGAGTCCGTCTCCATTCTCGAGAATGCATCAATTTTTAAAACAAGTTTTGTATATTGACTAATTTTGGATCGTATGTTGGACATTATAAACACTTGGTTGTGGAAATTCCATATTCTGTTATATTCCTCCAAAGAGTGCTGCATTTTTTGTTTTAACTGGCCATTGGTTGGACTCAAACTGCTCACCCTGTCCCAGAGGGTCCCTGTTAAAATGCCGTGGCAGCTCCAATCTCAGTTCAGGTCTCTTACCCTCACCTCAGCTGCTTGGAGTCTGCCTGTGGACATGTGATGTAGAGATTTAGGCATAGTTCTTACACAAAACGTGGGCCCCCTTTCTCTGGCTTTCTCCTTTCATGGACTCTCCCCTTCTTTTCATTTTTCAGGGGGAAAAATGATTCTTCTGATTCTTCACACCAGAAAGGGTGCAGTGTTTCTGTCAGTCCTGCATGATGCTACTCACTGAGGCCCACCTTCGGGCTAAAAACGTTTTCTTTTTTAAAAAAGGCAGGGGAGAGGGACCATCAAGTGTCATTTCTTCCTTTCGAGCGTCAGCCCCCGCTAGAATCGATTTGCTTTTGGTAACTTTCCAGTGCCATCAGGTAGTTACTTACTATATTTTATTTAGAGTTTTTGATTGCTCTCTGCGGAAGTGACTGTAATAGGTGCCTACTCAGCCCTTCTCAGTAGGGCACTCTGTGACTGTGATTGAGCCTACTGGATGCTGACCCTGAGGACAGTGTCAGCAAACACAGGATAGGATGCAAACATCGCATTAAGTCCTTTTTACAGATGAGAAAACTGTATCCTCACAGGTCCATCTGGCCTAAAACTCTTCCACTTCATCCTACCCAAGTCCACTAGGGTGAGGCAGGACTAAGATGGTGGCTGCCGTGTGGAGGAGCTGGCAGGGATAGGAGGCAGGTGAGGTGCCAAAATGTATAAGCCTAAATGAATAAGTCCTTTGGGGCCAAGGAATGGTCACAATGAGCTTAAAGCCTTGCACATGGTCTGTTTGACGGCTTTGTTTCTTTCATTTTGATTCTTTTTGAGAATGGCAGGCAACCTCCGCCAGGAGAAGCAGAGTCGCAGGAACAGACATGGCTACAGAGGCTGGGGGTGGGGACACTTCTCCGAGATGGCCTGCTGAAGGGTGGAAGTTTTGCAAAGCCTATGGCTACCCAAGGCAAAATCAGAGACAAAAAAAAGTCATAGGGCCTCAGAGTGATTTGTCTCAACTTCGTCATTTAGAAAAGTGAAATGATTTGCCCAAGATTGCTCGTTCATTTAATGGCTGAGTTTCAGTGTTCAAATCTCTTACTAGTAAGTTCTACAAAACAAGCAATACTACTTTATACCCATAATGTAATATATCTCTATCTCTATCTCTATCTCTCTCCTGCCCACACCAAGATCATGAAATATCAACACCAATAACCATTTGTTTGACTCTGATGACACAGAGGAGAATGTATCAATCCATTGGAATAATAACTCTCAATTCTTTTTTAAGAATCTACAGTCTGGACAAACATGATAATACTCTTAAATACCCAGTAAACCCCAATTAACACCATCCCACCAATACACTGAGGTTGATGGATTCCAGACGTGGTATTTACTCTATGGCACGTCCCCCCTCAGCGCTCAGTCCCCCACAGCACTCACCGTAGATGCGAAAGGCATACTCGATCTTCAGGCTGGGGCAGGCCTGCTCACTGAACACGGACGCCATGCCCAGCACATCCTCAAAGGAGAACACGTCGTTGTGGGAGAACACTCTGCAGATTCGGTCTCTGAAAGGGTTGGCCTGTGGGTGGGGAAGACGAGGAGGAGAGAGTTCTACCAGTGCCAGGTTCGTGCCTCCCTGAGCCTTACTTACCCTACAGTGTAATGAGTTTGAGAGGAAAATTATAGCAACAACCTAAATATTGGAGTCAGTGAGCTAGGACCATCAAAGAGGATACGGGATGATAAAGCAGGCTCACCATCACTCCTCCCCCTGTCATCTCCTCCTGCACAAACCTTCCAAAGGTGTCATTCTTTTTATGTTTACTAATTTTTCTCCATTTTTTTGTATAAAACTTTGAGAATATCAAAAAATAATAAAGAATGGGATACAAATTGTTTGTAATCCACTCTCCAGTGTTAGCCACTGTCAACATATGGATGTAGAGGTTGGCCAGGCCTGGGTTTAGGTCCTGGCTTCACTATTTGCTAGTGAAGTGACCTCACCTTTGACAAATTACATAGTCTCCCAGAGCCTAAGCTTTCTCATCTACAAAACAGGGTGGGATGATACTGAATCTACCTAATGGTTTTGTGGTGAGGATTCAACAGCAGAATGCCAGATAAATACCACTCAACAAATGATAACTATTAGTTATTACCGAACTACTATAGATATCAACAATTTTCTCTTTTAAACCAAACTATTTCTCAAATTATGAGCCCCATGTGAGTCAGGGTGATGTGATTTTAGGAACCCCTGGTGTCCCTGACCTGGGCCTGCCCAGGGGCATACAGGAGAGGGCCCTCTGACGCCTGCCTGAACCACGGGGTTCTGAGCAAACACTCAGCTCAGAGGCAACTCAGCAGATATCCACCCCAAAATGAACTCGCATTCTTCTGACTCTTCAAGGTAAAAGTGACTCATCTGAACAGTGAGTCAGAGAATATTTTGAAAATGAGACTTTTGTTGTTGAACACATGTGTTGTCACCTAGAAAAAACGCTGCAAACCTGCAGACATTAGACACAGATTTCTAAAGTCTGTTTGTTAATCATCCAAATGAAGAGGGCCAGAGGGCTTTGAGTCCATTTGTTAAAAATATGAAAACGCAATGCTCTCCACTTAGCTTGTAAAGAGCCACTGGCTGACGTGGAGACGATGGGCACCTACTAGCTTAACTTCAATAAAAAGCCCTTAATTGGTGGATGAGACTGATACTGATACCATGATTTAATACAGCCAACACCGCATCTCTTGTCTTTGGATTAGCTCCGACAGCCATAAAAAATAAACTCAGCTAGAACCAGACCTCCGAATGGCTCTGGGTCAAAGGTTAAAGCAAGATTTCACAGAATAATGAAGCCCATCAACCACATGGCTTTTCCTTACACTATTGTCATTAACTAGAAGCCAACGATTAAATTGTGGGTGGGAGAAATTTTGTTATATAACATTTTGCTTTATAAAATAAAATGTTTTATGTAATACGGTATTTATGTAAAATATCTTAACATATTTTATGTAATCTTTAGCTTTGATAAGTTAACATGGGCCTGATAGTAAAGGCACATCATTTGTAGATAATGTATGTATAGTATGGGTGCACGCTCCACATTTTCTTACTGCTGGGATGCATGGAGACCTCTGATCTGGACGGACCCCTCAGGCCTCAGAGGTGAACGTGCAGCCTGGAGGAGGAGAGGGGCTTGCCCAAGGTCATCTGCCTAATACCCAGGTCTCCTGAGTCTGCCTGGCACTGCTACCCCCCATGATGCCTCCTGGCAAATACACATCAGAGAAAAAGTGGTGATGGAGGCAGAGCATGTGACCTTTAAAATGTGGGAAACCTTGGAACTAGAACCATCTTCAAATTTTTACTTTAATTAAAAAACAACAACTTTTTTTGACACAAAGCACAGAAACAGACTAAATTGAAGTCCAGGGAGTAGCCCGCGCCTGTGAGAGCTGTCTGCTGGCTGGTGACTGTCGATACAAATGTGAGCAGCACTGCAGGAGGGCAGGAGCAACTGCTGTGGGAGGGAGAAGCCAAGAGGACAAGGTGAAGGCCACAAGGAGCCAGCGGGCTGGGGCACATGGAGGAACGGGGGACCCTGCTCCCGAGAGGCCGGGTCACAGAGCTCTCCGTCCTCTCGCCTCCACACCCCTGGAGGCCAAGGAGGCCTGGCGGTCATCTCCCAGGTGGGTGTCCCGGGCCTGTCTCTGCTCCAACAATGGCAGCTCCTCCCTCTGGAGGCTCCCTACCTCCTCTCTCCTGGGAGGGAGATGTCAGGGCACGGACTTCCACTATGACGAGGTGTCCTTAGCACAGACGCAGCTTCATGCAAAGGGATGCCAGTGGTGCTGCAGGGAGGGTTTCTAAGGGCCCAAGAGCAGCTACCTTTGCACCTCCCCAGTTCTCTATCCTGAGCCAATGTCAGCTCGGCCGGGGTCCTGGGCTCCCGCCCAGCCACCAGCACCCAGAACAGCTGGGAAGAGGCAGGGGTCGGAGCGAGGCTCATGAGTGATCCCAGTGCCAGTGTACTGTATTCCGGGTTTTTTGTAGCTATTGTTTTAACAATCTGAAGTCTGAACCAATAAATTCCAAGGTCTAACCAGAGTTATGGCCTGCGTTCACGGTCACACCCATTGAGACGTCTTCAATCCTCCAGAGGAGGAAGAAGATGACAACTGACAAAGCAACGCTTCCCTCTGAGGAATAGCACGCGTCCTGGTGTGCAGGCATTCTGCACAAGAGGATATAAACACGTCAGCGCGGAAATTGATGCAGGTAACTCAGTAGTGCAGTCTCCATCGAGGCATGGTAAAACCAGAGACGGCGAATATAAACCCTAAATGCTGGGGATTTTTTATTTTTTGGAAACAGAAACTGCAGTTTGTTGATAATAAAACCATGACAGCCCCTGCCAAAAATCCAAAAAGTTTTTTCTTAAAGATCTTCTCAAAGTTAATGAACAAGAGATTTTATTTGAAGATGAAAGTCAGAGGGAAAATATTTGGACATAGCTTAAAAATATCTCCTCTCCATTTCCCCAGCTAGCATGTAGTCAAAAAGAGCATTTGACAGTTGCTGGAAAAAATGCACACAAAAATACGCTTGTGACTCAATAATGACGTCATTGACGCACTTCGATTTTTAAGGTCTCCTTTTAAAAAAAAAAATCAAACAGTGTCATTTCATTTAAAATTTCTCATTGCTGAGAAAGCTCTCAATTTTTAGTGTTTCTTATTTTTGAATAATGTTTTATTTTTGTTCATTTTATCTGCTACCAACTCTTTTTTAAAAGAGATGATTAATGTTTATATTTTTTAACAGATGTAGAGCACCTGTCAAGGGAAGGAGTGGATGGAGGTATCGGGTGGGAGGGTACAGAGGAGGCCAGCCCCTCCTAGGGCCTGAGTGGAGGCCTTGGGTTACTGGGGGAGGTGCTCCCCAAAAGGCCCCTCATGGTTTTGTGCAAGATTGGGCGAGCAACCATTGAAAAAGCTACAAATAGGCTACATATGTTTAAGAAAGTAGAGACAAGCATGATGAGGAAAACTATAAACCCACAGATTCAAGAAGCTCAGTAAAACCCAAGTAAAGGAGAAGAAAGTTGAAGAAAACCATACCATGGCACAGCAGAATCAAATTGCTAAAAGCCACAAGTAAAGAGAAAAATGTTTCAGGAGTGAGGAGGGGATAAAATGATAATAGATTTCTTCTCAGAAGCGAAGCAAGTCAAAAGGCAATGAAGCAATATCTTTAACCCGCTGGAACAACAACAACAAAAAAACACAAAAAAGCTCTCATCCTATTGTTCTATACCCAGCAAAAATATCTTTGAAACCTAACGGCAAAAAACTTTCTTTTTCCTGAAAAATAAAAGCTGAGTGAATTCATCAGCACCAGGCCAGAGCTAAAAGTATATTAAAAGTTAGTTCTTCAGGAAGAAGGAAAATACCAGAAGAAAGCTTGGGTCTGCACAAGGAAAGGAGCACCAAAAATGATAAGTATGTGAGTAAATAGAGAACTCTTTCTCATTTTAAACTCTTTCAAAGAGACAAATCCACATTATAGCTGGAGATTTCAACTCCCCTCTGTCAGTAATTGATAAAAGGAGTAGAACATAAAATTATTAGGGATGTAAAACCCTTGAAAAGACTATCGGCCAACTTGAGCTACTTGGCATTTTATGAACACTCCACCCAACACAGTAGTATACACTTTTTTTTTTCAAGCGCACTTGGAACATTTACCAAGATAGAGCATCTGCTGGGTTTCAATAAATTTAAGGGGATTTAAATCAGACAAAGTATGTTTCCCAACCTCAACAAAATTAAATTAGGAATAAATAACAGAAAGATATCTGGAACACCCTCATAGTCAAAGAAATCAGGAGGAAATTGGGAAGTAATTCGAACTAAATGAAAATGAACACACAGCATATCAAAATCTGTGGTGGTCAGCGAAAGCGGTGCATATATATACTACAAGGAAATGAACAGTATTGAATGATTTCATTGGAGGAGAAAGGATTAAGTTTTTATTTAAAAATGTGAAAAGGTCCCTCACTGGGAGAAAACAGAGGGGTCAGGAATTCCAGGTCTATCTTGGGTGGAGTCCCTTCTAACCCTGGGCTCCTGGGCTACTTGCACCTAAGAAATGGCTGCCCCTGGGGACGTGAAAAAGCTTGTCCCCAGGGGCAGCAGCTGGGAAGCCAGAGGTGGATGGAGCCTCTGGACTACACAGAACAGATGAGCAAGATGCCTCTTCAACCCCACTGCCCTGGAGGATTTCCTAGTTGTCGGTCTCCCCAGTCACCCTGCAGCTCTAGAGAAACTCTGTCAGAAGGTGGCAGTGTTGAGTTGGAAGCATTCGGTCCGTTTGCCAAGCCAAGGTGCGTGAGAACCTGCCACCTACCCTGTGCAAGGGGCTGGGCCAGGCGGTGACGGTCCCGCCCGCAGGTGTTACCACCCTGTTTTACAGAGAAAGTGAAAGCCCGGGAAGGACTCACACTCCAAACGCACTGCTCTGTCTACAGCGCCGCGCTGGACTCCATTGGGTATTTCATTCAATTT